ACAGACAGACTGGGGAACCTGACACTGCAAGTTCTGCATTCCAAGCACTCGTGGGAGAGTCTTTATGAACAACCCCTTCTGATGGGCTCTCTTCCCCACAACCCTGACTCCTGGAGAAGAACAGCCAGTCAAGGCTGCTGAAGAAGGCAAGCAGAGCTCTCCCCTCACCTCTCAGGAGCCAGAGGAGTTTTCAGGATGGGAGGGAGCAGCTGTCACCATCCTCACAGGCGGGGATGGGGGAGCAGAAAGAGCTGAGCAGCGCGATTCACTGCTGGGCTGGGGCACAGGCCAACGTGGGGCTGGGGGAGCACAGAATGAATTGATTAGAATGTTGGGTTTTTCAGGAAGCTGGAAGCTCTGCACCATCAGGCAGCCAGAGAGCTCCTGCAGCAAGGCTAGAATCACCTTCCTGTATGAATCTGGGGGAGTCGGCAGCACCACACCAGTCACACACCCTGGGGAGGGGAATGCAAAAATCAAGAGACCAAAAATTATAATATCTTTTTTTTCCCCAAAAAATCCCATGGTTTGGGGGCCAGGCATGATTTTTCAACTTGTGGGGTGGGCAATGCTGGCATCGGGTCACCCTCTTTCCTCTCACTGCCTGTGAAATGTGCCCAGCACAGTTTTTTAAATCAAACAGATTTTTTTAAGTTAACAGATTGTCATTTCTATAAGAGGAGAGAAACCTGTTTCAAAATAACAAAAAGCAAGAATGTTTGGCCTGTCCGTTTTACCAGGAAAGTCTTGATTTCATCTTTGAATTACCCTGTTTCCCCGAAAATAAGACATCCCCCGAAAATAAGACCTCCCCGATAATAAGGCCACCCCGGAATATAAGGCCCCGAAGCTCCAGGAAAAATAAGACCTCCCCTGAAAATAAGACCTAGCGCATCTTTGGGAGCAAAAATTAATATAAGACACTGTCTTATTTTCGGGGAAACACAGTACCATCCTGTTGATAAATTGTAAAGTCAATTGATTGATCACACTTTGATTCATTATGAAATATATTCAAGTCCCCTAATAACCAATATCAGTCAGGTTTATTGCTCTAAGCCAAAAATAATATAGTGCAGGAAAAAGGTTCAATAAGATATCAGGCTCCAGGAAGCCGTCTCGTGGAGCATTGTTACACTCATCTTACATAGACGGTGTACTCCCCAAGTTACACTTTTCAGCTAGGAGTACTTATAAAATGATTTTACAAGTTACAAAACTTTTTACATGTCACTAAAATCCAACCCATCAGTTTGTCCCAGTTCCTTAGCTTGTTCTGTTTCTTTTCTCATCTTTGTTTTGGATACTAGCATATTAGAACTTCAGGAACCAGTCCGTGAAGATACCGTCCCCAGCAGCTTGTACCAAGACATAGAACAAATGTATCTTGATTTTGACAAGTTTCCTATCAGCGTATGCCAAATGCTGAGTTGTGCTATTGCAGGGAATTGTGGGATGTAGCTTAGCATGAGTGAACAGAACTCTGGGAAAAACAGGCCAGTTCAGCTCTTAGAACTTGCAGGCCTTTGTATAATGTCAAGTATCAGAGGGGTAACCGTGTTAGTCTGGATCTGTAAAAGCAGCAAAGAGACCTGTGCCATCTTATAGACTAACAGACGTATTGGAGCATGAGCTTTCGTGGGTGAGTACCCAGGGCCGGCTCCATGGTTTTTGCCGCTATGGGCACTGATTTGTGCCACTGGTCTGGAGGTATATATTGTCATCAAATTTGAAATAGTTGTGTGTGAGGATAAAGTCACAGAGTTCAGCAACCAGTTGTGCTGTGGCATCATCAGGGATACTGTCCCTGGCAGCTTGTATTCCGTCTGTGTGTGGGATGTTTGTGTAGAGAGCCTCTACATCCATGGTGGCTAGGATGGTGTTTTCTGGAAGGTCACCAATGCATTGCAGTTTTCTCAGGAAATCAGTGGTGTCACGGAGATAGCTGGGAGTGCTGGTGGCATAGAGTCTGAGTAGAGAGTCCACATATCCAGACAGTGCTTCAGTGAGAGTGCCAATGCCCGAGATGATGGGGCATCCAGGATTTCCGGGTTTGTGGATCTTGGGTAGTAGATAGAATAACCCCGGTCGGGGCTCTAAGGATATGTTGATTTGTTCCTGTGTTAGTGTAGGGAGTGTCCTGAGTAGATAGTGCAGTTTCTTAGTGTATTCCTCAGTGGGATCTGAGGAAAGTGGCCTGTAGAATTTGGTATTGGAGAGTTGTCTGGCAGCCTCCTTTTGGTAGTCAGACCTGTTCATGATGACAACAGCACCTCCTTTATCAGCCTCTTTGATTATAATGTCAGGGTGGTTTCTGAGGCTGTGGATGGCATTGCGTTCTGCATGACTTAGGTTATGAGGCAGGCGATGTTGTTTTTCCACAATTTCTGCCTGTGCACGTCGGTGGAAGCATTCTATGTATAGGTCCAGACTGTCATTTCGACCCTCAGGAGGAGTCCATGTGGAGTTCTTCTTCTTGTGCTGTTGGTGGGAAGGTATCTGTGTGCTGTTCAGTGTTATCTTGAAAGTATTCTTTGAGTCGGAGACGGCGAAAATAGGCTTCCAGATCGCCGCAGAACTGTATCATGTTTGAGGGGGTGGCAGGGCAGAAAGAGAGTCCCTGAGATAGAACAGACTCTTCTGCCGGGCTGAGTGTGTAGTTGAATAGATTGATGATATTGCTAGGAGGGTTAGGGGTACCACTGTTGTGGCCCCATGTGGCAGGTAGGATTTTAGACAGCTTACAGTCCTTTTTCCTTTGTAGAGAGGTGAAGTGTGTAATGTAGATCTCCTGTCTTATTTTAGTGAAGTCCGTTTGTATGGAAGTTTGGTTATTTATGAGAGTCTCCAGGTTGGAGACCTCTTTTTTGATGTTTTCCTGTTTGCTGTATAGGATGCTGATCAGATGGTTCCTCAGTTTCTTTGATAGAGTATGACATAATCTCTCACTGTGGTCAGTGTAGTATGTAGATAGCAACGGATTTTTCACCTTCAGTCCATTTGGTATGATGTCCATCCATTTGCATTTGGAAAGGAAGATGATATCTGTCTGTACTTGTGCAAGTTTCTTCATGAGGTTGATGGATTTCCACTCCATATGGCTAAATGCAGTGCCTTGCATGGTGTCAAGTATCAGAGGGGTAGCCGTGTTAGTCTGGATCTGTAAAAGCAGACACCACGATGCAAATAAGTGACGGTCACGTTAACACCACCCTATACCGAAAACCCACCGACCGCTATGCCTACCTTCATGCCTCCAGCTTCCATCCTGGACACACCACACGATCCATCGTCTACAGCCAAGCACTGAGATACAACCGCATCTGCTCCAACCCCTCAGACAGAGACCAACATCTACAAAATCTTCACCAAGCATTCTCAAAACTACAATATCCGCACGAGAAAATAAGAAAACAGATCAACAGAGCCAGATGTGTACCCAGAAGCCTCCTACTGCAAGACAAGCCCAAGAAAGAAACCAACAGAACTCCACTGGCCATCACATACAGTCCCCAGCTAAAACCTCTCCAACGCATCATCAGTGATCTACAACCCATCCTGGACAACGATCCCTCACTTTCACAGGCCTTGGGTGGCAGGCCAGTCCTAGCCCACAGACAACCCGCCAACCTGAAGCATATTCTCACCAGTAACTACACACCGCACCATAGTAACTCTAATTCAGGAACCAATCCATGCAACAAACCTCGATGCCAACTCTGCCTACATATCTACACCAGCGACACCATCACAGGACCTAACCAGATCAGCCACACCATCACCGGTTCATTCACCTGCACGTCCACCAATGTAATATACACCATCATATGCCAGCAATGCCCCTCTGCTATGTACATTGACCAAACTGGACAGTCCCTATGTAAAAGGATAAATGGACACAAATCAGATATTAGGAATATACAAAAACCTGTAGGAGAACACTTCAATCTCCCTGGACACACAATAGCAGATTTAAAGGTAGCCATCCTGCAGCAAAAAAAAACTTCAGGACCAGACTTCAAAGAGAAACTGCTGAGCTTCAGTTCATTTGCAAATTTGACACCATCAGCTCAGGATTAAACAAAGACTGAATGGCTAGCCAACTACAAAAGCAGTTTCTCCTCCCTTGGTGTTCACACCTCAACTGCTAGAAGAGGGCCTCATCCTCCCTGATTGAACTAACCTGGTTATCTCTAGCCTGACTCACTCTTGCTTGCATATTTATATCTGTCTCTGGAAATTTCCACTACATGCATCCGACGAAGTGGGTACTCACCCACGAAAGCTCATGCTCCAATACATCTGTTAGTCTATAAGGTGTCACAGGACTCTTTGCTGCTTTGTATAATGTGGTATATACTAACATAACATAAATGTGTTGGCTACCAATCCTTATTCTTAGCACTATTTTAGCCTTAATTTCACCCTTACAGTTATATTGATGCCTATTTTTATTATTCTTGATATCCTCCTGTTTTTGTATTTATCATTTTCTTCCCTGTCTCCATTCTTCATCTGATCATTTTCAGTAACAAGCTCTACTTTTTCCAACCACAAATTAAATGCAGACCCCATAGTCCTTTAGAGACAAGGCCAGAGAGGAAGAGGAGAGGGGAAATTGTTGTGGTGTTTGGTTTCCTAAGCACTAAAAAGGGGAATGTCTTTCCCTCTTCCATGGCTAAAGAGAGGGGATTGATGCAGGGCTACAGTTCAAGATGGGGGGGAGGACAAGCTAAGCAGAGGGTGCCTATATCCCCTGTGTGACGCAGAGCCATCACTCAGATTCATTTTAACTCTCTACCATTCAGATGCCAATTAAAACAATTGCAGAATCTTGGATCAGCCACAAAGTGGAATTATAGAATCATAGACTTGTAGCAATGTAGGGCTGGAAGGAATCTTGACAGGTCAACTATTACATCCCCCTGCGCTGTGCTTGTCTTCTTTTCCTTTGCATTTGTAACTGATCGCTTACCATTCCATTGGAGTCTCTGCCCATTTTAGAATGATGTGGCCAGCTGCTGGGAAAGCTCTTCCTTTATAGGCCACCCCCAGGCCTTAGAAAACGGAGCCAAATTCTTCTGCACCTGCTGAGAGAACTTTGCTGCCTATAGATCCATCTTTGAGTCATTGTCTGCTGGGACATGGCACAATGTTTGGTACTCAGAAAAGTTTTGGATGAAGGATTCCCATCCAAAGGCCTTTTCCAGCTGGAGGTCAGAAATGAACAAACAAAAGAACATAATTTAAAATACAATTCCCTTCCCTCATATTTTAGAAAATTCTTCCTGTACAATGAGTAGGTCTTTTGCTGCTGGGTGGAGCAGGCCCTGATCTTCACTTTGAATATTTTTCTTTTCTTTTCTACAAATGTGTCTGTCTGAAAAATTCTAAGTACATGTACAAAAAAATAGAATAACTCTTTAGCACTATTAAACTAGTTAGCAAACCCTTCTCTAAAGAGCTCTTTCTATTTGCTGTTTTAATTCTATATATTCATATGAAAACACACACAAAGATAGCTTGTTTATATAACCTCTTTCATCCTGAAGGATCTCACTGCACTTTACAAAATACCTACCCATCCCACTTTGCACACACACCCATCCCTTTATGAGACGGGGGGAGGGATAGCTCAGTGGTTTGAGCATTGGCCTGCTAAAGCCAGGGTTATGACTTCAATCCTTGAAGGGGCCATTTGGGGATTTAGTTGGGGAGTGGTCCTGCTTTGAGCAGGGGGAAGGACTAGATGACCTCCTATGATCTGTTTGTACTGCATCATTCCAGTTCATACTTTAGGCCAGAAGACTGTTTACACTACAGGGTGAATGACAGCAGAACAGGAAGTTGGTAAGGACAATCAGAGTTAATATAGTCTTGCAAAGACAGCCATGGTAGGCTTAGGGCATGATTTTAAAACCTTCTGACTTTGTGGATTACTGTTAATGTTTACACATCTGTTGGGTAGACACAAAGCTGATTGGTTTTGTGTGTAAATTTGATACTACGCACTCACAAGTAAGGATGGGCACAAATGTATGTAATATAGCTCCAGTAAAATTGGAGGTCAGGTTTAATTAATTACCCAGGGTCCCAGGCTTGTATTGCCTGCACTGAAGACTATGGTGCTGTAGCTTCACTGCTACTGGTATCCCCACACTAGCTAAATTAAAGCTAGCTCAGGTATGTCTATGTGTGCTGCAATCACACAACCTGATGCAATGTAGACATGCACATTGTTTTAGCCGATGAGCTGTGCTAACTTAGGCTGTAGTCTATAGGTACGTCTACACAGCAACTAGACTATCGTGGCTGACCCATGCCAGCCGACCTGGGCTCACAGGATTAGGGCTGCAGGACTGTTTCACTGCTGCATAGATGTCTGGGCTTGGGTTGGAGCTTGGGCTCTAGGACCCTGCAGGGTGGGAGGGTCCCAAAGCTCGGGCTGGAGCCACGGGCGTCTAGTTGTTGTGTTGCCATGCCCTGTACCTCCTGACGGCCCAGCCAAATCAAGTGAAAAGCGCCACCACGCTCAAGGAAAGGGGTTGTGTGTACGGCTGCATGGAAGGGATGCAAGTTAGGGGCAACACACGGGTTATCACTCAAGATAATTCTGCAGTGAAGACAAGCCTCAGCGTATCTGACCCCTGTCTACCTTTGAGTTAAAGCTGTTTGCTTTCCAAACAAGAACATCTTTTCAGTCTTTGTTCATATGGGAGAACAGGGACCAACTAGCTTGTTTGAGCACAGTGCTGCAAACAATGAGACAGTGGTCATCTTTCCTTGGGCAACATCTCTTCCGCCTGCAGAGATTGTAGAGATATGGAGACCAGCTTAGCTGAGAATAGCTTAGCTGCAAACCCACTGAAAGCAGTTAGAGATGACTGCCATCTTTCATAAGGAAACAAATTGTGAGATTGTAGCAGCTGCTCTTGTGATCAGATTAAAACAGATCCCCTAAAACTGGTACAACTATGAGACTTGGCAAGTTTTGCTCTCAGAGGGCTTCTACTACCGATTACCAACACTTCAGTTAGAGCACAGAGCCATTAGGACCTACTTTCTAACAGGTATTTCATTAGTGAATTGTCGTAAAGCTGCACTTGTTTTCTAAACCGCATGCAGCATTTTGCTGATACACAACACATCACTTTCCATCCTGCTTTAAGAGCTTTTGTGCATGCATATCTCCAGAGCCACATTATCTACCAAACTACCTAAATCTTGATTGAATGCCCTAATTTAACATAAGGTCCCACTGGACCAGCTCTATTATTTCCGCCCCCATTCACCATGGTTCACTCCCCCAGCAGTAGGTGCAATGATGCATAGATTACCTGTCATCCTACATCTCCCTGCCAGTCTCTCTCTCTCTAAAAAAACTGCTGTATTCTGCACCAGGGCTGGTTTCATTTCAGTATCAGGTGATGTGACATGTATATAGGAAAATCTGAGTCACACAAGTAATCCTTACTCACATGGCTAGTCCTCTGAAGTCAATGGAATGATGCATATAAACAAGGGTTTGCAAGATCTGGTTATAATTTTAATGCACTAGGGTCCCTTTAGAAATATTGATCCTAGAGAAAGGTAAAATGTTATGATTATTATTCTTGCCAGTAGCTATTTGAACATCTGCCACGATCCTCTCTGGCCTTGGAAAAGTTGCTGGTTTGGCTGCCAGTTTGGCCACGGTTGTCAAGATCTGCTCCCAGAGGGAGAGCAGAGTCTCCGGGTTCTCTATATTGCGCGTGTCATCAGCAGGCACTGGCAGGATGATGTTGTGACTAGCCAGTTCAGCCCAGGGAGCAGGGTAGTGACGGACAGTGTCCTGCCAGGCAGATGTGCTGGATTCCCCTAATTCAGCATTAAAAGCCAAATGTCATTGGTTATGCATTTTTCATACATAAATAAAAGGAGGATGGCTCCACCAAAACCCACCCAATAGAATCATCCTAACTTCACTGTCCCTCTGGATAGGGTTGTTTCTATCGCACCAACTGGTAGACTTCATAGAGATGTATTATAAAATATGCTGGGGACTGATTAGCTCCAATGACACCCTCATGTATGTTGTCACCTTTTGGCTGAAGAGTGGAAACATTTTTAATATCAAGCCACTTCAAATGAGGCCAGGAAGCTCAGCTACTTTGGTGCTGGATGTCACAGAGGTCGGGGGTAGACAGACCAATAAGATAGAACTCCAGGCTAGGAACAGAACACGTTCTGCAATGAGTTTATGGGAAATTCCCCTGGTGCAACATTTATGCCTAACACTATGCTGTGTCCAGCTGCAGATGATGTAACGTGACCATGGAAAATGCAGGAAAATGTGGCCAAGTCAGCAGCATGGAAATATGTCTTTTTTCTTTTGTCTTCAGTTAGGGATAGTGTCCACTTACCAAGCCTGAAAAAAGGAGCCCGCGTAGCCCCTTCTGTGGTGACAGCTATTTGGCCCAGTGTACATTTCTCTGGCACTAGGATGTAGTTGTGGCCACCCCACAGACTAGGGACTTCCATCTTTGCAGTTTCAATGTTAAACTTCTGTATGACCAGAGGAGGGCGCTTCAGCTCCTCTGCATCCCTGAGGTCACCGGAGTGACAGCCAATCTACACCTGGAGGAGCTGGAGTTCAGCTAAAGGCACCAGAGAGGCAACAGATTGGAATGGTTCATCCCTGAACCAGAGGTGTAGCCACAGGTGGGCCTGGGTGGGTCACAGCCCACCCCACTTAGCATCCAGGCCAACCCAAATCACGCCCCAACCCCGCTCCCCGGAAGTAGCATGGGTGGGGCGGAGTGGAGCAAGCCCCCATTCCCAGACCCCACTCTCCAGCAGGAGTTGTGGGGGGAGCAGGGCAAGGCCCCATGCCCCGACCGCATTTCTCTAGCAGGAGGGGGAACTGCAGGTGGAAGGGGTGGGGAGGGACCCCCACTTGTCCTGGCCCAGGACCCCACAAAACCGTAATCCCCCTCTGAGAGGGGAGGAAGTCCCCCTGTCATTGCCCACCCACCCAAAAGCCAAGGCCCACCCAGTTTTCCTATCCTAGCTACGCCACTGCCCTGAACTTAATATATTTACCCAGCTCCCATAAGCAACACACTCTTATTTCAGTTGGCCAGTGATAGTATTACACAGCACAGGACCCGGTCGCTCCTTGGGATAGGCAAGGACCCTTCACGTTGACTCAGATGAGAGCAGCATGGAGGAGTTCAAAGGCAGAATTGAGCCCCAAGCACCTAAACCGAACATTCCAGCTAGATTGCCACAGAGGAAGCAGAATCCTCCTTCCCTGTGCTGATTAACAGGAGGCTTTTCCCTTTGGGAGGAGCTTGCTGGGCTAGGGAGTGCAGAAGCCAAGGAGCCCATGGAGCTGGGGAGTCTGGAAGCTCAGGTTCCTCAGCAGCCCTCCAGGAGACAGGCGGACAAGTTGGCAGGAAACCAGGTAGGCTTCAAATGGAAATCTGCCTGGTTTCATCATAAGTTTAATCAAAATCAGCATGCGTGCACCCGCAGAACGTTTCAGTTTCAACAGATCAGCATCTCCTGACAGACAGGGTTCATTTGGCAAGTTTCCAGCCAGCTCTGGCAACAGACTCATCAACCTTTTATGTTGATCACCCACTAGAGGGGAACAAAGAGCCACACTCTCATAGTGTGAGTTACATTAAGAGGTGGGGGGCCCTCTACAGAAGGGGACTAAAGAAGGGTGTCCCAGAGGGGTTACAGGAGAGGTGGTCCCAGGGAGGGAAAGGGAACAGAGGGGCAAGACACTGTCAGACAACAGTGCTGTCCATATCTTCCTTGTCCAGCTGCAGAATTTTATTCTAAAGTGCACAGCTTCGCACAAATTAAAAAATGGGAGGGAGGGGAGAGGCCTATAGCCCCATTTCCCTGCTTTGGCAAGCAGTCTGTTGTCTGATGAACCCAGAATGCACACACATAGGCACACCTGTTCTAGGAGGAAGACTTCTCTGCTCTTTAATGTGGGTTATAGTTCTGGCGTGAAAAACAAGTATTGTGTAAGCCTATTCCAGCCCCCGCCACCTCCCAGCTCAGAAATATTTCTAGTGTGAGTAGCAGGGAAGTCACAAAAGAGGCCCCAGGTCTTTCCAGGCTTAGGGGCACATTTTACCTTCATCTAGCCCTAAGCTCTCCAAGCCCCACTTCTCCCTGTGGGGAAGAGGCTGGGAAAACAAACAGCACATGACAGGTGTAGTCATGTTCCTTAACACAAGGTTCTTATTCCAGTGCTGGTCCCAATCTAACCCTTCTATTTCACTGGAGGCTAGTCTCACAAGGAGGACCTAGACACCATGCTGCCTAGCAGAATTCACAACTCTGACTTAGGCACCCCAGCTCCTCAGACACTCAATGGGGAGAATTAAGCCCATCAAAAACAGATTCACAGTAGCCAGCACATTGAGCAGGGAGCTGCCTAAGCTAACCAGGTGTGAAATGCTAAACTAGGTAAGTGCCTAACTGCACTTGGGATTCACAGCTGCAAACACTCTCCAGTAGTTAGGCACCTAAGCCAGATCAGCCCTTTCTCCCGAAAATCCCCTGTAAACCCATAGTCCATTGGTTCGAGAGCTCACATGGGAGATGGGACATCTGGGCTTAAGTCCCTGTATTGAATCAGGAAGAGTGAGGATTTGAACATGGATAGGGTTACCATATTTTAATAAAACAAGAGGAGGCCACTCCACGGGGCCATGGCCCTGCCCCAACTCCGCCCCTTCCCCAAAGTCCCCGCCCCAACTCCACCCCTCCCCTGAACGCTCCGCCCCCCCTGCTCCTCCCCCTCCCCTGCTTCCTACGAATCAAATGTTCGCGGGAAGCCTGAAACAGGCAGGCAGCAGGTAAGCGGGGGCGGGGGGGGCCGTGAGGGGGCGCAGCCCAGTCCGGCCCCCCCAGCCGAGCGGCTCCCTCTGGCGACCGGCCCCGGCCAAGAGGCTCTGGCCCCGGCGTCTCCGGCCCAGCTCAGCTCAGGCCGTGGGGCGCTGGCCCCGGTTCCGGCCGAGCGCGCCGGCCCCGGCCGAGCGGCTCCGGCCTGCCCTGGCCCCGGCGACTCCAGCTCGTCTCGGGCCCCGGGGCACCGGCCCTGGCCCTGGCCCCAGCGGCTCCAGCCCAGACCCAAGCCTCACGACCCCTCCCTATTTTCCCGGACATGTCCGGCTTTTTGGAATTTCCTCCCGGACGGGGATTTGAGGACCAAAAAGCCGGACATGTCCAGGAAAGTCTGGACGTATGGTAACCCTAAACATGGATCTCTAAAATCCTAGATGAGTTTGCTAACCCATCAGGCTGTGAGAATAAAGAAGGGCAAGTCTTCCTCCAGCAGTGTTTTGAAGGTGGGGGTTAGAGGCATGCTCTGAGACTCAGGTGAAAGTAAGCCGGTCCAGTCCAGTACGGCGTACCGGCAAGAGCCGGTACACAGCCAACCATACCAGCAGGGCCAAAAAAAGGGGCAGCTTCCCTGGGACCCGTGACCCGCCAGAGCCCTGGCCCTTTAAATCGCCGCCAGAGCCCTGGGGTAGCGCTAGCGGCAGTGGCAGCCGGGAGCCCCGGGCCCTTTAAATGGCCCCGGGCTGCGCTCAAGGGCTGGCTGTGGAAGTTTGGCCCTAGCCCCTGCTCTTCTGCCCAAGGCCCCGCCCCTTCCGGTTGAGTCCCCCTTGCTCAGGACCCTGGCCATCCTGCATACCAGTAAGTCCCTTAAGTTACTTTCACCCCTGCTCTGAGCACACTTATCTGATTGAGCCCCACAGACAAGATAGGTGGGGAGACACCTAGTTTAAGGATCCCGCCAGGACTTAGGTGTGAGTTAGGCGCCAAACAGCTCAGCAGCATCAGGCCTTTGATAGCTTTGCGCATACCCACTGGCAGAAACTTAGGTGCGTAGGGGGCTACCGACAGAAACTAGGTGCCTACAGGGTTAGGCAGCAACTGAGTGGCGGGTTGTGAATGCCAGTGACATCGAAATGCTGGAGTTGAGCATCTAAAGTGGAAGTTAGGTGCCTACGTCTATTTGTAAATCTAGCCCTGCTTTGCTAAACACCATTTTCTTCTCCGAGTTAGAATGCAGTGATTCAGCATGTGCCATCTCATCTATATGAGCCACTTTTCTGTGATGCGATTGGCCCTTCACTGCTGCTGTACCAGCCACCTCCTCCGCATTACCATCCGGACAGACTCCTTGTACCTCTCTTCATCAGCTCTGCATCTCGTTTCAAATCTCAGCTGAAAATATCCCTCTTCTCCCTTGAGAGCTCCTGTTTAGACTTTGCCTTTCTCTACAATATGATAAACAAATAAAGTTATTTTGTATTGTACTGCATTACAGCTGCTAGGCCAAGGGTGGCCAACCTGAGCCTGAGAAGGAGCCAGAATTTACCAATGTACATTGCCAAAGAGCCACAGTAATACATCAGCAGCCCCCCATCAGCTCCTCCACCCCCAACTCCCAGAGCCTCCCACCCACCGGCAGCCCCACCGATCAGCACCTCCCCCTCCCTCCCCACACCTCCCAGTCAGCTGTTTCATAGCATGCAGGAGGATCTGGGGGGGGGGGGAGGAGCGAGGACACTGCAGGCTCAGGGGAGGGGGCGGGAAGGGGTGGAGTGGGGGCAGGGCCTGGGGCAGAGCCAGGGGTTGAGCAGTGAGCACCCCCCGGCACATTGGAAAGTTGGCTCCTGTAGCTCCAGCCCCGGAGTCGGTGCCTATACAAGGAGCCGCATATTAACTTCTGACGAGCCGCATGTGGCTTCGGAGCCACAGGTTGGCCACCTTGTGCCAGGCTATCAGTTAACACATGCAGGCCACCTGCCCTTCGTTTGTTTTAGATTCACTGTGAGATA